TATATATATATATATCCGAAACTAGTGTTTTTAAACACCCTATGCCAAAAAAATGTAGCAATAAATTTGTAACTTGTAACAATTATTTTGTTCATTCAATGTAATAATTACGAAAAATATTAAATTGCTTTAAAAGTTTAGTTTAATTTTACTTAATATTTTCAAATTTATAGCAAAAAAAAAAAAAAAAAAAATGCAAGACAAAAAATTTAGTTTTTAAAATAATGTCCATATCACCATAAATATTTATGCTAGGCTTACGAAATAGTTTGCAATTATTGCATATAATAAAGTAATTGTTATAAGTTTAAATTTTATTTTTTTTTTGTTTTTTTTTTTTTGCATGGGGTGTTTAAAAACACAATTTTCCTTTTGTAATTTATTTTCGGTCCCTCAAACGTCTATAAAGCTTTAAACTTCATCGATAAGTATGAGAAATCGCATGATCTAAACATTTCTGTAATTATAAATTATTCTTTAAGTATTTCTTGAGAAATCTGAAAAAAATGTGTTAGTACTGAAGTATTTCCATTATTTTGTCCAACCCCTGTAAATAACACAACAATGACAAAAAATAATAAAGGAAAAGAGAACTTAACGAAGAAAATTAAGAAAAATAATAATAAGTCTTATGTATTGTGCATAAGCTGCAAGAACTCATAAAATAAGTATAAAATACAAAGAAGAAGAAAGAATTTATTGTATTATTAGTTAAAAGAAGCCGTAGTTATATTTCCCTAAATTGATAGAGTTAAAAAAAAAATTCTTAGAAAGATTTTAAAATATATTTCTCAGGCGCTTCACGCAGATTACCCATTTATTTTGCCGAATACCTAATTTTTTTTTCATTTCAATTAATTCAATTAATTAATTACTTTTATAAAGTCTCGAAGTGGACTGATCGTAAAAAATACGGTTCTCAGTAAAACTCCGAAGTCAAACATTACTGGCTGCTGTCTGTAAGAGGGTGGGAGACCACTTTGATCACCCTGCGTAGGGACCGAGGGTGTGCGGTATCGGTCCTCCTTAAACTGTTCGACCGTAAAGTGCTCGACTTCGTTCGCAGGGTGTCGGACTACCAAAGCAGGGGAGTCAACCCTTCTGCAGAGGATCAAAATTGCGATGGCATGTCTTCGGAGCATCTTCAGGGATGTCTCCCAGACCGTCGCCAATAGCCCATTGTACAGCTCTAGTGCGACGTGAATAATGTACCTTCCTACTTTACTTTTATTGAAACACGTTTGAAAAAAATTACTATAAACAAAATAAACACGTGGCTTGCGATAGCATTAGGAATACTAATATTTGGTGACGCAGTCCTCACATGCTTGAATTTTTCAGACAGAGGGAGAAAAAAAAATTTTTTAAATCATGCAATAAATTTTTTTTTTTATCAAATAGGTACATATAAGCTAGCAAATATTTGTGGTGTTATCTTCAAAATATTTTAAGAATAGAATCGTCTATTTTAAAATTTAAAACAAGGCTTACGCTAAAACAATTAAAAAATTCAATTTCGTTTTTCGTTTATCCCGCTCGAATGGCTCGTAATCGTAAATGTTTTAATATCGACAGTAATTTCGTGCTTCGATCTATCAGTAAGCTCAATTTAATCGCTTTCGGATGGTTTGGGTGCCTATAAAAGACAAGACAGGCAAACATTCATTTTTATATTTAGAGATAATTTCATGAGTAATTTGTATACAAACTAATGCATTACATTAAAAAAATTGGCATTTATAACAAACCGAAAATGTTTTTTATACATAAACACATGTATATGAAGTAAATGTTTAAATTTATAACGTTAATTTGTTTATCATTGATACCTACTAAAGAGTTAATAGGTAAACTCTTAAATATTTTAGAATTTATTCATTTTAAATACGAACAACATATTATTAAACGGAAAATAATTTTTTATTTTCTCTATGCCGATAAAACTTCGGGAAAATGAACAAGTATAATACGATTAAAGTAGTCTTTTTAAAATTTAACTGTAACTTATGTTTAGTCATCACAAGTTTATTTTATATAGTCGTCACTAGATGGCAGCATCAGCTACAAAATCTGTACTTTCTATGTGCAATTTTTGTATTTTTATTGTTTATAATTAGGGCTGCAAGTTTGTCGCGGGGAAAAAGACCCAAAATTAGCGGAAAATTCGCGCGAAATTTTGAAAATTACGCAGATTGTAAACATAAAAAAATTTCTCTATAAATGATGCAAAAGACAAAAATTGCGCAAATAATAAAAAAGCTTAAAAAATACACAACAAAAGTATTTATTTTAATTTTAAGAAATATTAGTATTTTTATTCAAATGAACAGAATTTTGGTACAAAGTATTTTTTACACTGTCAGATTATTCTCATTTATGCTACGTCTTTCATCACCTTTCTGAGTCAACGCTGTTTGTAGGCACAGACAAACATCGAATTGCCACTTTTGGATTGTGTTCGGTCCAAGGGCGCCAGCAGAATAATATAAAACGGGGTGCAAAGGGGGTAACAAGCTACCCCCCCCCAAAAAAAAATTTTTATTTTATTGCATTTTGCTTTGTTATTACATATACTTTCATCTGTTAATTTTTTTTCAAGATACATTCTTCATTGTTAACAAGATATTTAAAAAAAAAGTACGAATTTCTAGTAGCAAATCTTGCCGCAAGAAACTGTATTGGTGGTGCTGGCATTGAAACACAAATAGCTATACAAACAGTAGTTTCCATTAGTATTTATTGTGTTGATAAAGTTTTACAGTTGTGAAAAGTCAGTTTGTGTTTTACATCTTTGTTATAAACAGAATAACTAATAGAAAATATAATATTATTATTATTTTATTAAATGAAATTGAAAAATATAGCTTAGATATCTGCCAAGTTTGTGGCATGCTCAGTGTGCATAAGAAAAGAATCAAAGATGAATCATTGAAAAAGTTATAAACAGATTTGAACAGCAAACAGGACGATTACAATTCTTGTTTGATTAAGCAATTTTTTAATTGTTATGTATCTATATTTACTTAATTATTTGTTTTTGAATAAAAGTATTTTTAATAAGAAAAATTTTATAACAAAATTGTTTTTCTGTATCTCTAATTGTTTTTTAAAAAAAAAGCCAGGGGCGTGCAAGTGCACCCTCTAGCACCCCGCTGCTGGCGCCCTTGCTTCGATCTTTGATTTCCAAAACTCTATCAATTTTCCTTCCTCCACGCGCAATGAACGCGTTGCTTTGTAAGAAGTAATTGCTGTGAAAAGTCAAACATTCTACATTCAAACTACTAGTTACTTACAAAAGCCTTATCTCCCTCTCATCTGAGAAACTGATCCCTATTTAAGAAATCACAATCTCGAAAAATTTTTGAGTGAATATACAAAAAAATTTTGCACAAAATTATAAAATTCATTTATTTAACTATAATCCTATGCCAAGAGTAACTATTAGTAAATATTTATTATTTTTTGTTAATTTATTTAATAATAAAATTCGAAAAAAAAATTTAATTTTGAGGTATACAATTTTTTTCATCTCTTTAAAGAATGAAATTTGACTTGCCAAAAAATAATATTTTTAAAAAAATAAAATTTCTTCAAAAAATTCCTGAGTAATCAAATTTAAAAAAAAAAAAAATTGTACGAGAAAACTCGATTCTCAAAAAATATAAAACTGATTTGGATAACTCTTTGTATTCTGCCATGTAAAATTACATTCGTTAAAATAGTCAAAAATTGTATACATTACAATTTTAAAAAATTTCGATTGTTATTAAAAATTTATAAAAAAAATAATAATTTTTTGCTGAAACTTATATTTTGTTTGGAATTATCTTTGAATAAAAAATCTTTTTAATGTAAGCAAAAATTTTTCAATTCGCTGAAAAACTTCACTGCTCTCTTGACCAAGCTAAACTACAGGGTGGGACCATATTTTCCGTTATTTGAGAGTCAGAAATCCAAATTCGTCGAGAATGGGGTATGTTTTTTTCAGATTGTGAATGTTTTTGTGTCTGATTGAGTCCTCTGGAACATGAAGATCCTATCTCTAGACGAAAATAAATAAAAATATTCAAGGCAAGGCAATCCATACTTTTTTTTTAACATGTGCATTTCAGGTACGATACCAAGATGTGTAATAATTAAGGATAAAGTACGAGAAATAATTTTTTCTACTAAAAGCAGTTAGAATTTGAATGGCAGAAGTGTAGCAGTCATAATTCGCCCAACCGCTGATAGCCAATTACAGCCCTATCTGGCAACAATCTTTAGAATTCGTTATTGGTTACGAGTTGAACAGTTTACTTTTTATGGAATGACGTTTCGTCACAGTATTGACAATGGAACGCTTTTTTTTTCTTCATTTCCTCTATTAATTAGCATTTGTATTTATCGCCATGATAGGTCATATTTTTTATTCATGCAAAGAGGGCGCTAGTTGTGAATGAAAATTTTTAACGTAAAAGGTCGTCTGTTACTTCAGGCATGCGCATATTCTTCTCTCATGTTTGATATTGATAACATAAGTAAACACTACCCCTTTCATTCTGCATAGGAAATGAGTTATGATTGTATATTGCGGTGAAAGTTATGCATATGGGCGATTTTTATGTCTGATTCGTTTTTATTATTTCAATCACTCTGCCTACACCAATGTCGAAAGACACGAAAGTTATTATCAAGATTCTGCTTGATTTAATTCTTCTTTTATTAGGTTTGTAATTTTGCTAAGAAAGAAAATAGTGGTATTGTGTTATTTATGTATTTTTTCCTATTTAAGTCTATGCTTACCCATAAACATATGTTTCATTATCTTTTCTTTTTGCTGCAAGGTGGGGGAAATAATGAAATACTTATAATATTTCGTGTTATAAACCGTATTAAATCTTTTTGAAACAAAAATAAGATTCTCCTTAAAATTCTTAATTTTTCTTTCAGTTCTACAATATTTCAGTGAAATTGAATAAATTCGAATGTGCAACTCGATTTTTTATGAAATTATTTTAAAACTTATTGAATAGATATTAAATTTTACACTTCCGCATCAACCTTTTTTCTTATCAATTTGTTCTTCACTATGTTGAATTCATATAAATTGTTTCTTAATAAACTGTTTAAAATAAGTTTTTAGGGTAGCTGAAAAGGATTACTTATCCTCAGTTAAGGGAGCTTTTTATGTGACTTCTAATAATTTAATCCCCTAGTATATCAAATATAATTTATCCTACTCATCATAATTTAATTATATTGTCTTTAATTATAATACTTTTTATCTTCTCATTCTAATTTTATTTCATTTAATGTAGAAAACAATCCACATTCTATGAGCATAGAATTAGACCATATATTTGATAATTTTAAATTTTGATTTACTTCACCAAAAAAATTTATTTTTTAAATTAATAATAAGATAATACATTTTTTAAAAGAAGCAATTTATTGTATTTATGTATGAAAAATAGTAGTTAAGTTTTAATTTTATTTTCATTCTTTTTTGCTGCTTAAGCAGTTAGAAATATTTCAATTTTTCTAGGATATATTTGTTTCCATGTATAGAAAAATGAATCCTAAGTTAGACTTTTAAATTTTAAACCCAAGTTAGACTTTTAAATTTTGATAGAATTCTTTTTTTTTTCATCACCTCTTCTTTCAAAATGTTCAGTAATGTTTAAAGTATGTTTTACCCTAGAACAGCTGGATTTTAGACTTACCTAAGAACTAATTTGGGGTCAATTTGACCCTTATGAAAAGTTGATGTTATTCCAAAGTACAAGATTTTTTAATTTGTGATTATCGCTAAAAATGTCAGTTTTCTCTCTAAGCGGTTTTTGAAAGGCTGTTCGCACTGCCTGCCCTATGATCAAAATAAAAACTCCAGTTTTGTAAAAATAAGCTGCCATCACTTAAAAACATAGCCTTTTTATTCATTTTCCATTTATAAAAGATTAATTCACTCTTTAAATAATAATTACACACTGGTACATACAAACTAAATTTTGGAAGAATTGTTTTTAACAAAACAAATCAATCACAAATTTTAATGAAGAAAAAGAAGTTTTCTGTAGCAATGTACATAAGTATTTTTAGAAAGGCAGCCTGCCCTGCCTGTCGTTTGATCCTTATAAATGCACCCTTTTTGTAAAAAAGCCTTCATCCCTTAAAAACACTGCCTTTTTATTCAGATTCCATTTTTAAGAAAAATTAATTAACTGTTAGAATATAATTATCCACAAAAATTATCTGTGTTTTTGGGTTTAATTCTGATTACTACTGCGTTTTTTTAATATGTCGATCCTAATTTCTGTTCTAAAATTCATCTTCATAATGCTTCCAGTTCTGCAAAATAAAAAACTGGCAGAAAAAAGTTTTCTTAAAGGGGTCAAAATGAACCCTTTTGGCTGTTTTAGGTTTTTCCATAATTAATTATTTATTTTATATTTGATATTGTATACTTAGAAATAATTTAGAAAAGGTGAGCCTCAAGGCTCACGTGTATTGTCAAAAATAACGTTAGAAATGGCAAAAAAACAATTAAAACCACCCCAGCGTTGCTTCTAGTATTAATGAAATATTTAATATGCTATTTTATTCCAAAAGTTGCTATTTAAAGAACAAGTTTTTTTTTTTTCAAATAGCTTCAATTTTGATTTTCCTATATAGAATTTTCGTATCTAATGTACTGTTTGATTCTTCATATTTTCTAATACCATACCTTCAGTTTTGATTTTTCCATACATATATTTTTTACAGAAATGTTTTTATATAATATTTAATTGTTAATCTTTTAGTTGGTATCCCAATTTTACTTTTCCATTTGCATGGAAAACCCTTCAAGAGAGGTTTCTTTTGTGATGATGATAGCATAAGATATCCTTTCAGTGAGTCAACTATAACAAGTAATGCACTTTATGTTATCGGAGTGTTTCTTCCTATAACAGTGGTAAGAATTGTATTTTCTTTATTATATGATTGTTTTTTTTATTTTAAAGAAACTTTATTTAATATACAATATTAATTTATTTACTAATGTATGCAATTTTGATGGGAGATAAGAAAAATTTGATTAGAGGGAGTTTATTTATGATCATTAGTGTCTGCAAGGGAAGGTCGAGATGGTGCACTTAGACGACCTTGGAAATTCGATAAATTGAAATTTATATTATGCTTTTAACTGTTATTAAATTATTTTAATTAATTATAAATATTGCTTATTGATATTGACTCTACCCCAATTCATAAACTGGGTGCATAATTACATTTTAAAATGGAATGGTAATATACTAAATTTCTTCTTATTATTATTACTGCTAAAATATTTGTTTTGTTGTTAACGAAAAAAAGAAACTTATGTAGTAATTTTTTAAAAAAAGTGACAGAACACTAGAACTATGTGCTTTCTCTTTTCAACATAACATACGTAAATAGTGCATAATTTTTATCATTTTTTTTTTCATTTTAAAATTTTAATTTTGTTAATGCACTTTTTTTTATTAAAAATTGTTATCTCAGTAGTTGTAATTAAATTATTGAAACTGTTTACAAAAATTTCTGATGTCCACATGTTCAAATATTTTTAAAAAATACATAAAAAAGTTTACCTACATAATACAGTTACATACATTATACAGTTTTCCATTATTGTCAGTGCATTTTTATTGGCCGGAAAATCGAATGGTAGGATCCAGTTTTCCCCCATTTATTTTCGTATTTTTTTGGTTATCATCAACATAAAAATTATAAAGGAAATTTTTCTCTATAAATATTTTTGTATCCCTATAGAATTTTCTTTTAGAGTAATTTTCTGTATTTAACGAAGTTTTAATAACTAGTGTATTGACAATAATGAAAAATAAAATAAAAAAACTATTGATGGACATGACAGATACTGCAAATGTATTCAGTACATAATGTGAAGCCATTGCAGAGTTTGAATTCTGATGTTTAAAAAATTAAAGTCATGGAAAATTTCTCATTTATAATCATTTCCTGTAAACACCAACTTCAAGGAATGATTATGTACAATTGTAATTTTTCTCAATTTCTAAATGTACCTTTCAATATTTAATTTTTAAAAAAGTATTTTAGATTCATTTTTTAATCATAGTTTTATTTATTCCTAGATTTTTTCCTAATGTTTTAAAGAATTATATTTCATTTTAATTCTCAAATAAAGTTTTGTTTGAAATTATTATAAAAAATTTTAATCAAATGTATTATTAAAAATTGTCACAAAATATATTTTTTATGAAAAAGTAACATAAATTAATCTAGTCTTGTAAATAGTTATAGGATTGCTTTTCCCGCAGTCTTCAAAATGTAAAAAAAGATTTTATAATTTTGGAAAAGTTTTAATAATTTTTAGTTATGAAAAGATTATTCTTTTATGATTTGCTTAAATGATAACTCTGAGTTAAGTGATGTTTTCAGCAGCATGTATTATGTATTTAAAATTTAAAAAAAAATTTTATCAATTGTATTTTTAATTTATATTTAATAAAAGTTTTGATTTAAAAAAAAATTTAAAAAGCTTTTATAAAAAGTTTCCTGTAGATTATTTATTCACTTTGCAGTTCATTATCATTTTTTATGAAAACTTAATAAATTTGTATTTTCACACATTTCAGATCAGCTTGAATGAATTTGTGACTGAGACGAGAACAACTAGAGATGACAGAGGAAAAGTGTACATTTTTCGAGGACGTCCTGTACCGAACGTAATTTGGAGAATCTACAAGAGAGTGGGGATATTTCTTTATGGTGCTTGCATGTCACAACTTACCACAGACATTGCAAAATATAGTATTGGTAGACTGCGTCCTCATTTCCTGGATATCTGCAAACCGTCTGTTAATTGCTCTCTTGTTGCTGATCCTCATGCCTATCAAACTGAATTTGAATGTTTGAATACAGAGAAACCTTTTTATGTCAGAGAAGCTAGGTAGATTTTTAATTTATTTTTCAATTGTTAGGTAAAATTATTTAAATTTAAAAATTTATTTTATGGCGGATTTTGTTTCATAGCTTTGGTTTCATTTCATTAAAAGCTAGCACTCTCTTTTGTAACTCTTATTATGTAGCCTATTGTTCATGAAAAGAGAACTATATTCCTATTAAGATTTTGATTTATTATTGTTTAATCACAAAAAGCTACCTAGACTTGAGAACAATGACTTCATAAGAATTAAGCTTTTCTTGTTTTTAAAAATTTTACTACCTTTTATTTTAAAAAAGTTATTCGTATGAAATCAATTTTAGTAACTTTCAAAATGTATACAAAAATTATATGTTTATCCAATAGAATTCTGTAAATGTTTAAACCTTTGAAACCATAAAAGTTCCGTAGTGGACTGATCGTTAAGACACGGCTCCCAGCAGATCACCGAAGTCAAGCATCACTGGCTACGGTCAGTGTGCGGGTGGGTGACCACTTAGATCAGCCTGTGTAGAGACAGAGGGTGTGCGGTATTGGTCCTCGTTAAACTGTTCTACCATAAAATGCTCGCCTTCACATGCAGGTCGTCGCGCTACCGAAACAGGGGTGCCATCCCCTCTGCAGAGGATCTAAATTGTGATGGCATTTCTTCGGATCATCCTCAGTGATGTTTCCCAGACCGTTGCCAATAGTCCATTGTGCAGCTCTAGTGCGACGTAAATGAACAACAACATACCATAAAAAATTTATTCACTTTGATATTTTATTGTATAACCACTTAAAATATTCCAACTTTCACTACCTACTGCCCCCTGTTTTCATTTTAAATGTATCAGCTTTTATAAGGAAGGTTAATATATCTATAAGCAGGGGTCTGTTGAGGCCAAATTTACTACCGTTTAGGGGTGCCTTCATAATTCAACTTTAGGAAAAACAGTAGTTTCATAAAATACTTTTCCTTAAAATTTTATTTTTATATTCCATAAGAAACTATAAATCCATATTTTTGTATTGATTTTTCAATACAATTTTTAGTTTTCGCAAATTATGTCTAAATTTTCACAAAATGGGGGGTACCTCTCAGAAAAACCTAGGCTGATCCCTGATAACTAATTATTAGGATATTCCAGAATTATTAGTTTACCTAGTTAGTTTTTTTGTTGTTTTGTACTAACTAAACAAAAGAATATTTATGTGATTTAACAGTAAGTAAAGAACATATATTTTGTTTGTCTCAGAATTATGGGTTTTTTAAATAAATATTATGCTTTTAAGTGTAAGTAAAAATAGTTTTCAGTCTTCTATACAAATTCATAGTTTTGTTCTGATTGTGCTGAAACTCAGAATACTGATTGAGTCCCAAGCACTTCCATCTGTTTTTTATAAAATGTAACTTTTTATGTGATTTAGCTAGATCTATTAAATATTCACATAGTTTTTAATTATATATTAATCATTTGTGCTGCATTCAAGAAGCTTATTTCAAATTCTGTAGATTCAAGCCATTTTTAAGTTAATACAGCATTATTGATTTGAATGATTCCAAAACTGAAAGTTAATATTCCAAATTTTGCCAAAAGGGTGAAATTCCTATTCCTTAACATTCCAAGTATCCAATCTTATAGGGGAGAGTTGGATAAAACGGGATAGTCGGACAAAACGGGATACGTCGCCTAGGGACCAGACTATTGCAGCTATCTAGTGGACAACGACAGAAATGTGTTATTCGACAGTGATTATATTATTCTCGGTGCGTCCCGTCTCGAGATCACTATTTGATAGAAAGTTGTAGGTCTCAGAACTTTTTTATTCTATTTTATTGCCAGTTTCTACATTTACGTACGTTGTTTTTCACATTGTACTGCCTATATATATGAGAATAAAATTCCGGTGAGTATTAAATTTGATTAACCATTTAATTACCAATATTTTTATGTGTAGTCTATCTTATTTCCTTTTCACATTTAGGCAGCAGCCATGTTTGTTTCAAAAAGTGTCGGAGTCGGACAAAACAGGACACTTATGAGTTGGATAAAACGGGATAGAGATTTTTATGTCCCGTTTTATCTACCTATTTATTTGTTGAATTATTACCTTTTAATATAGCCATATATTAATGTAGGCCTAGGCTTTTTGAACAGCTTATTTATATTAGCTATTTATATTTTTGAAAAATTTAGTCTCCTTATATAGTAATGCAAAATTTGTTTATTAATGTTCATTATTAAGCATTTTATTTTCGACTCTAGGATTTCACATCTTTCTTTAGAACTAATTGTAATGTATTTCTCTGATGAAGACTTGAGCTTTTTTATATATAAACTTCTTAATTTTCTGGATTGCTCAATTCAATCTAAATTCAATTCTAAAAAGAATTCTTCTTTTTGTTTACTGAAGAATTTAAATACTTGATTATTAAAGAGTCTTTCAGGGATCTTACGACATCAACGGAGTGAAATGGAAATAAAAGTGAATTAGAAATGGAAGAAAAGGAAGGGATTATTAAGCTACAAAAAAAGAACCAAGAGAATTGAAGAAAAGGCTGCTATAAAATCTCTATTAAAAGCACAAGGCACATCTCGACAACGAAAATTGCGGAAATAAGCCTTCATGTTTGAAAACTTATAGTCTTTAAAAACAAATGCAGCATCATATTTTTTGTGTTCTTACTTATAAAACAATCTATATAAAAGTGTTAGAACAGTAGAGCAGTAAAATCCCATGAATATAATTTATAGAAATTTTGCTTTGCAGTTCTCTGTCAGTTAATTATGCTCTTCACTTAGTTTTATGCAAAAAATTTAACACTGTAAACCCTATCCCGTTTTATCCAACCCAGGCATGCTAAAACGGGATATGTAAAAGTTTGGAAATTAATATTTTTTTCTATTTCACAGTCATTAAAATTAGTTTAAAATGTGTTTTTTGTGTGCTTCAATAAATGCTATAGCTACAAAAAAAGTAATGTATGGTTTGCCATAACAGATATTCCATAGTAAATAAAAACAATAATGGCATCCCGTTTTGTCCAACTCTCCTCTACATGTCATTAATTAATAACATAATATTCCTTTCAGCACACAATTCTTAAATACACACCCACACACACATATATATATATTTAAGTAAAGGTCACTTTTTTTTCTATTTTAATGGTTAAGACTTAAAAATTGCCAGATTTTTTTTTTCTTTGTTCATTGTTGATTCAGCTTATGAAAAGATGTTTGAATGTTTTTCCCATTCTCTTATCTTATATAAAAGCTTTGGAGTAGTCTTGTGCGGTTAAATGGGAAGAGTTTTAATAGTAATTGTAAACTGCAGATTTTAAATATTGTCATGTGCCAATCAAAAATTTTTGCAATACTCTCTACAAGGGTGATTGTGGCACAAAGTGAAAAACCCTGAAAATTTTATATGCTAGAAATCAATAATAAGATATCAATTTGTATACCATACAATGTTTCATATTTAAAAATTTTTGAAATAAGATTTATAATTAAATTGCTTACCAATAAAATATATCATGCCTATATAATTTATTTTGTAAAAATCTTAGTGCTTACATGTATCGCTATGTGTGATTTTTAAAATCGCGTGAATATGAATTGCGATATTGGATTTTAAAATCTGGCTAATGCAAATCTCAATATTGAATTTGAAAAACACGTGAATACGAATCACAATGCATAACGTTTAAATCACGTAAAAATATGGAAATCGGTGTTTGATTTTCCAAACGCGAGAATAATAATTGTTACATTTTTAAATTTGCGTGAATATGAATCGTGTTACTGGATTTTGAAAACGCATGAATAGAAATTGGAAAATTGATTTTAAAACTGCATAGATACAAATCACGATAAAAGATTTTTTTAAATCATGTGAATAAAGTCGTGATGTACGATTTTTAAGGCATGTGAATATGAATCGCAGTGCGTAACTTTTTAATTAGGTAAATATGAAGGTCGATGTTTGATATTCAAACCGTGTGAATACGAATCACGATTTTAGCGGATTCCGGCGCAGTTCTAAATATTTAGATTAGCGAAAATCCACCAAACCAAAAATATGAAATTGGCTATTTTCTGTCCGTTTCGCGTGTATGTAAACATCTCGTTAGCGAGAAGTGGCGATAGTTTCAAAATTTGAATTTGGGGATGGTAGAATTCCTTGAAAATTTCATTGGAATATAAGTTTTTGATTGGCAAAAGTCCAAGAACCAATTTTCTTAAGTAACTTGGAATTCTGCAATATTCATTGAAAAATCACATGCCCTGCTCCTAATTTTTTGACCCTAAAGAACATTACAAAAAGCCCGGAATTCAGGGTAGCCCCAAAATACAATCACCTCTGTCTCTAATTTTTTATAGAAACCTACTATGTCAAATATAAATAATAAATCTGAAAAACAGCATATAAGTTTCTTTTTTTTTTCAGACTATCATTTCCTTCTGGGCATTCATCGTTTTCTGCTTATACAATGATATTTACAGTGGTATGTAGACATTATGGTTAATTAAAACTACTTTTGTGTTCTCAAATTATGCAAATAACTATTTATAAAATTGTACAGAATCTGGAAACAAATGTATTATTGAATTAATCTCTAAAGCTATATCAATCTTTGTTTTACTTTGGATACAATCTTTTAAATTTGAAGTTAAGGTTTGGATGAACAAAAATCTGATAACAAAAGAATTAGTACAATAAAGCTTGTCAAGTCAACCATCTTTGTTAAGTTGTCCTCATGTCTAAGGTAACTTCAAAATCCATATCTATTTTATGTAATATAGGAGCAAAACCTTAGTAATCTGACCTCCTGTCTATCGTGTTTGTTGACTGCTAAAATAAGTCAACTTTGTCAAAGAGTGTCATTAAATGCTATTCTAATTCTTTCATAAGTTAACCAAAAAGAAAACTTTTTTCAGATGTTCTTACTTAGAATGAATGTAAAAAGTATATACTTTCATGATGTAGAAAATGTCATGATGTGTTTATGATTACAGATCCAAATATTGGCCTTAAATTACTTTTCTATCGTGGTGGTTAGTCACATTTTGTTTTAATGAGATAAAAAGCTATTCATAAAATAATAGAGCTGCCATTTTTTTGGGGGGGGGGTGATAAAAAAAACTAAATCGTATCTAATCCTTGTTGAACACAAAAAGAACCATGCTAAGTGTAATTTTGATATTTAAAGGCATATTGCTTTCTAGGCATTTTTACATTTACAAGTTTCTTTTTTAATGCGTACGAGTTAAAGGAAAAGAAAAAAAGCATGTAAATTCCATTAATAATACATTTGATAAGGCAAGACAATTTCACTTATTGAATTTATATCTCCAGAAAAAGAGAAAAGAAAATACTACTTTTCCTAGTTTTTCTTTCAGGAAAGAAAATCTCCTACCTTTTTCTATTTATTTTATTATTCTGGTGGAGCAATTTGGAGAAAGAATGCTGAATTTTTATCCCCCAATAATTAACTATATCGTTGATCTGTACTCAAATTTACTTACCCATCTAGGTTGATAAGTTTATGCAATGAACAACTTGCTACCGCTTTTTATTTATTTTTAAAAATTGAGGCCACCTTTACTTCACTGAAGAGAAATACTTAAAGGCTGAACAATTAGAGAACGATACTTTATATAAATCTGTTTCCACCGACACCAAAAATTGGCATATTTTTTGCCACATGTTCAGTTGTCTTTTTCGACCCCTTAATTTTTGGAATTTTGGTTTAAAGGATTATTTTTGAATGAATCAAATGCAGTAATAAAATTGATATCTTTCTTCAGAATTAGTGCTTTTTTGGCTTGGATAAGCATATTCTGTGATAATTACAATTAACTGTTGTAACTGTCTTAAAATAAGTAGGTAATACTTATTTTAAGAGATTTCTTTAGAATATTACCAAAACACATTACAGAATCAAAATACTATCAACCTTTCCAAAGTTATAAGGGTGCAACTAATGCACAGTTAATAATACTTAATTATATTAACATTTTTAATATTCTCTTTTCTTTTCATCTTAATAATTTATTTTTTATTTATATATATACAGTGAAACCTCGGTAAAGTGGACATTCTTAGGACCGAAAAAAATTTTCGTTTATGAGAGTTGTCATTTTACAGGAAGAATACCTGAGTAATGAAGTTTAACACCGTAAATATTTTAGAATATTTTCAAGGATAAAGAAATAATTAAATAAAATCTACAAGGATATTTATTTAAACTTAAAAAAAAAATTTATCTATACAAAATAGAATAGATTAAAAAGTTTGATATAAATACATATTTTTTGATGTAGCTACAGATAAATGAATATAATTTTCCTATTAGTTAGACAGATATTCAAGTTAGTCTTATGATACCGAATAGGAGCTTTTAGTCCTCATTCGGTTTCAATTATTAGTTTTACACCCCCTAACACCTACCTATCACTTGATAGAAAACATTAGTAATACCTCCTTGAAAGTAAACCTCTCATAATAAACAGAAGGGGGAAAAAGCAATCCATACCTGTAAGATTATATTTCTGTTCTTTTTGTACCACAGCTGTGTTAAATACAGTCTTCAAATTGACAATAAAATGACAAAAATTTTCACTGGGGAAGAAGCATTTAAGACGTCATTTCAAATTGAGGGCTCTCATTACCTGTGTCGTCCAGATGAAATGATCAAGAGATTCCTTATTTCATAAGAGCAGTATCATTTTCTCTCCTTTCTTTGCAAAAATAGGGCTAGGTGACAGGAGAGAGAGTGATTCTTTAGTAGTGAAATAGCTTAAAAATATTTAGTTATGGATAACCAAAAGGCACCAAAAAAAAAAACTTTTCAGGAGAAAAATGACTGTCTGTGTCCAGTTATGGCAGTGTCCGCCTTGCGAAGAATGTACATAATGGTTGAATCATGGAAGATTCACTGGGATTCAGAAATATGTCCGTATTGAGAAGCGTCTGTTTTGGAGGGGTGTCCATAACAGGAGGTTTCACTGTGTGGTATATATATATATATATATATGTGTGTTAAATGGGAAAAAAAAGCTGAAGGAATTTACCAACATGTATAATTGTTGAAATTCAGAAACTCTATTTGTAATTGCAATAATAATATATATTAGAACAGTCCATAATTTTCAATCTTTTATGCTTATTCATTTTGTGTCTAATGTAGTAAGAAATTTCCGATTTAGCATTTCCATGAAAAATTGCAATGCTCTTCTAGGATTTTTTTTTTTTTTTTACAGAACTGAATTAATAAAGCAAAATAGTTAAACATCCTTTATAAAATATTAATGCTCATGTCAAATGTTAGCCCCGTGGCTGAAACACAGCGACATTGTCGCAGAAAGCGACTGAGTTCTTGCAGAAAGATTTTTTTTTTTATTTGGGAAATAAAAATTTTTGGTTTGCCACAAACAAAAGTTCTCAAAATAAATTCTGCAGAAACAGAAGCTGTTTTACCAACAAAAAAAAAACATTTTCTTCAGAAACAAAAAATTTCTGCAGAAGCAATAATGGTTCTGCAAAATTCTTTTCTTACAGAATTGTTTTAAATATTTTTTTTTCTAGCTTACCGCAGAAGGAGAAAGCGCTCGTAATTCTCCGTTAATCTCCAACTCAAACAGTTACTGGATAAAAAGGGGAGAATTTTTTTCCCCTTTATTAAGCTATTTTTGGAAATTTGCCAACTTCGGCCTCTATCGCTGGCGCAGTAATTTGCTTTGTGTTTTTTTTTATGAGAACAGAGCATTTTATATTTTTTGCACTTATGTTTAAAATTTCATACGTAAAAAGATTCTTTTTTTAAAAAAATCATGTCTAGCGAAAAGGTTATTTGTTGCAATTGTGAAGCCACAATAGTTAAAACAAATTTGAAAACTGATTTATCAAGGCGGCATTCCGAAAAAGAAATAAGATGGAAGTCGACAACATCTAAAAATGTCTATATGCTTTGAATTAAATCGTCGATAAAAAAAAAAAAAAAAAGCACTCGCAATCTAACGATAAATGAAATAAAGCCTGAAAGATATCTCACTATCTACGATTTTTTAGCATGCGAATGAAACCCAGATTGGTGAAAAATATTTACTGGTCACTTTCAAACAGGTTTCCATACGCATGCGAAAAAAATCGCATCCAATGAATATGGCTCTAATACCGATGTTTCAGTACTGATAAAGACTATTTCGTTTCGAGATGTTGAATAGACTTGAGCATATTGAGTCGGAAACTGCTTCTGCATACTTCGTGTGGAATCAGTGCTATATATTTACACAATACAGTGCGAAATCACAAGCGCTGTGTATTTTTTTCGTTCTGAACTTAATCTGATCACGAAAAAAGTTTTATTTACCTCCTTTTTTT